ACCTTTCTATCTATCTATCTATCTATCTATCTATCTATCTGCCTGCCTGCCTGCCTGCCTGCCTGCCTGCCTGCCTGCCTGCCTGCCTGCCTGCCTGTCTCTCTGTCTCTCTCTCCCTCCCTCCCCCCCTCATCTATCTAAAGTAACTGCTTTGGCTTATTCCCAGAGTTGATCTGATTCCTTGCACCTGATGGAGAACATACCATCACAAGGGTGGAAGTCTGGAACTGCTCAAACAGATGAAGCCCCCTCCCCATCTTTCTTTCTGACTCAGAGCCCTGCCGTTCAACTCATACCATCTGTCTATCTCAAATACACCAAATGAGAAAAAATGCTATTGAACAATATTGTATAGTAAACAATATTTTTAAACAATTGTAATATATTGTAAACAATATATTTAAATATTATAATATTTAAATAGGTTTTCTTTAAATGGTATATTGTTAGAATGCTATATATTGTAGAACATTGTTTTTATATTCTATTGACAAATTCTACTGTATTTTAGTTTCACTTTTAATTGTACAGTTACAAAATAACATTTTCTACTGAAAATAAATATTATTAATAGTATTGAGTGGCTCCCAATTCAGGACTGTTTGCCTTCTGTTTGCTTGGGTGTCCATGGCAAGAAGTCCTGTGATTTTCAATCTTGCTTCTAGAGCTGCCAACAATTCTGACTGATTAATTAGCCTTATCTATGCTATAATTGAAGACTTTCTGAGCATATTATGGTCGGCAGTAGCTAAGTGGGGAGTTGGACATATTGACTATCCCTTTGTCTTCATTTGTCTCTTTGTTTCTGTAGTTTAGCTTGAATAATTTGGTTTGGAATTTTGTTTCCCTTTTTTGACTTAGAGGTGTATTCTTGATCAGAATGAAAACTCCTTAATCTCACATAAGCAGACTCAACCATATTTTCAGCTGGGAAACGGTGGCCATTCTAGATCAAACCAAATGCAAAAATGCTAGGGAATTTCTGGAATTCAGACAAACCAGCCATGAATGACACATACAAATAATCTACATTTACATACCATTCACAAGAGACAATGAAAAAGGGCTAGGAAGGAAAGAAAAAGACCAGAACATATCCCCCCAAGCAGCCTACTACACCCAGATAAGCAAGGATTAATGCCAAGTAATCAAGCAGAAAATAATACCCTAACCAAGGCACTACCAAGGGGAAAACCATGCCCCCAACACTAGCTAGGCAAATTACAGATAATCCTCTCCTATGATCACAACTGAAACCAGAATTTCCATTGTTATTAAGCAAGGCAACTGTTAGGTAATCACGATTTTACTACCTTTTTTGCCATGGTTGGTAAATGAATCACTTGCAGTTGTACAGTTAACAACATAGTTGTTAAGCAAATTTGGCTTCCACCACTGACACTGCTTATTGGAAGGGAGCAGGGAAAGTCACAAATGGGAATCTTAATGCCCTGGGGACACTGCAACTATCACAAGTAGATGCCAATTGCCAAGTAGCCAAATTTTGATCACATGGCCATGGGGATGCTGCAACAGTTGTGAGTGAGAGGATCAGTTGTGGGTCACTTTCCAGTGCCATTGTAAATTCAAATGGTGAATAAAGGAATGGGTGTAAGTCAAGAACTACCTGTATTATACATGAACAGTGAGCAAAGTCCCCCCTAGTGGCACTGATGATGTTAATGATCCATGATGCCAGGTAATGAAACATCTGCAAGCAAAGAACCGAGGTCGGAGCACCCAAGGTCTCCACAGTTCAACCTGGGGCTATGGAGATTCTGTTCTATTGGATTTTATCCAGCAAGAACAGAAATGAAGAAATTGTATTTTTCCCATGTGGAAAGATGATGGTGTTCTATCATTTCTTTTTTCAACCACTGTAATAATTA